GGTGCATGTCTCATGGAGCTAAAAGTCATAGTGGAAAACCCTCTGGAAATACACTATGTAGTTGTAGAAATTACTGATGTAAATGATCATTCTCCGAGTTTCCGCGAAAAAGAGCAGAGATTTGAAATAGGCGAACAAACATTACCTGGAAGGCGATTTCAACTACACACTGCTCGTGATCCCGATGCTGGAATTAACTCTATTCGTACATACACTTTAACATCAAATGAACATTTTGAAGTAGACATCCGCCAAAGCGACGAGGATAAGATACCATTTTTAGTGCTGAAGAAATCGTTAGACAGAGAACAAAAGAACAAACACACGCTGCTGGTTACAGCAGTTGATGGAGGCAAACCTCCAAGATCAGACAGGGTAAATGTTTCTATTATTGTTCTTGACAGTAATGATAATCGCCCAGTGTTTACTCAGGAGATTTACCAAATTGCAATAAATGAAAATGTTCCAATCGGTACGTCAATATTCAAAATGAATGCAACGGATCCCGATGAAGGCACCAACAGCGAAATTGAATACAGCCTCGGAAAAAATCTGAAGAAAAAAGTCCATGATATTTTTGAATTGGACAAATTAACTGGAGAGATTAGAGTTAAAGGAGTGGTGGATTATGAAGAAAACGACGTATATAAACTGGATGTGGAGGCGTCCGATAAAGGAACACCTCCACTGACAGGTGAGTGTAGAGTTGTTATAAAAATTACAGACATCAACGACAATCCACCAGAAATAGAAGTCACATCACTGTCAAATACAGTGTCTGAAGACTCAAAGCCTGGTACAGTTATTTCACTTTTTAGTGTGACTGACAAAGACTCTGGTGTCAATGGAAAAATAATATCAAGCATAATCTCAGATGTTCCTTTTGAATTAAAGCCCTCCTATAAGGAGAACATATATTCAGTTGTTACTAAGGGATTTTTGGATCGAGAGGAGGTGTCACATTATGATATTACAATAAAAGCTACAGATTGTGGTGATCCTCCCTTATCTACTGTTAAAACTCTCAGTATTGAGATATCAGATGTAAATGACAACAGACCACATTTCGACCAAAATCCATTACAGTTTTACCTGGTAGAAAATAACGTTGCTGGAAATTCAATATTCTCTGTCAGCGCAACGGACAAAGATTTGAATGATAACGCAGCTATTTCATATCATATTGTGAGAGAAGGGAGTCAGAGTGACGTCATGTCTTTCCTCAATATAAATCCAGATAATGGACACATTTCCGCGCTAAAAAGTTTCGACTTTGAAACAGTGAAAACTTTCCAGTTCCAAGTTGTCGCCACAGATTCAGGAACTCCGTCACTAAGCAACAACGTGACAGTGAACGTGTTCATTCTGGATCAGAACGACAACGCTCCAGTCATCCTGTATCCAGTCAGCTCCAACGGTTCTGCTGAAGGTGTGGAGGAGATTCCCCGCAATGTCAACGCAGGACACTTGGTGACTAAAGTCAGAGCCTATGACGCTGATATAGGATATAACGGCTGGTTACTCTTTTCACTGCAGGAAGTCACTGACCACAGTCTCTTTGCTTTGGACCGCTATACAGGACAGATCAGAACACTTCGCTCATTCACAGAGACAGACGAGGCTGAGCATAAACTGCTCATACTGGTCAAAGACAATGGCAACGTTTCACTCTCAGCAACAGCTACTGTCATTGTCAAACTTGTGGAGCCCAGAGAGGCTTTTGCAGCTTCTGATGTTAAAAGTGCAACTAAAGTTGACGAGGAGGACAATGTTACATTTTACCTCATGATAACTTTGGGCTCAGTTTCTCTACTTTTTATCATCAGTATCATCGTGCTGATTGCAATGCAGTGCTCCAAATCCACAGACTATACTTCCAAATATCTTCAAGAGGCTAATTATGATGGGACACTGTGTCACAGCATCCAGTACAGATCTGGAGACAAACGCTACATGTTAGTTGGACCCAGAATGAGTATAGGATCTACTATAGTCCCTGGCAGCCATGCCAACACACTAGTGCTCCCTGACAGGAGGAGGGGATCTGGAGAGGTAAGAGCTTGAAAACAATATAATATATGTTTATATGTATTCAGTTCTTTCATTGCTTTGTGGTCACATCATTTCCTATCATCTGTCTAATGACCCTAGTACAGAGAAGTTGACCATATCACAAATCTGATTGTGATGCTTATTTGGATCAATACAAGTTAGTCGGATATTATTGAGATAAACTGTATTCACCAGGTGGTGATCACTCTTTCCAAAGCAAGAGATGTAGGTTTGCAAGTCAGTGTACCAACCGGCTGTGCTCCTTTGCTTTACTGTTTCAACAAGAGCTACACATTTATACAATTGTGTCTACTTCACTTACCACTTGCTCGTGAGCTGATAAATACCAAACATTTGAAATAGGGAACATTGTTTATTTTATGTAATCTATTGCAAAGGTCACAATCTTTTCCCCAATGTGACCATTGTTCAAGGTATAGACATGCTTTGGCTTTACTCTGGCCTTACCCTTCCCAAAGATAAAAGCATTAAAGAATTGCAAACTGTAATTGGGCCTTTTATCTGTGGTATTTTTTTTAAAAACATGCACCCAAATCCTAACATAAAACTACCATAACGTTTCTGGTTGTAGATGTCTCCATTGGTATGTATGAGTATTGAGATTGAGACTGGACAACTTTGGCAAAGTGAAGTCAGGCAAAACACCTGGTTCAGATCTCTGTCCGTGGTGCTGAAATGCAACTGGCTCTGTGGTTCATTGTGCACAATGAACATTAATTCAATAAATGTAACAAAAACATTACTTTTGGGAGCCTATCTACTGTCATATTTGTAACAACTTTAACTAATATAATTAAGAGATATTCGATGGACATATCTATTGCCACACAAATACAACACTTTGATCAGGTGTTTATATGCTCTAATCCTAATGGTACATGATGGTTCCATTAGGTATGCATTTTTAAATTGAAGTACACACCGCCTTCTACTGTCTCGGTGACCTCTGGGTGTCAGTATTACATTGGGAAACGATGAGAAACTTCGTCCCTCCCCTCACAAAGCTTTTGTTTGCCCCCGGAAAAAGGGAGAGAAGGCTTTTGAATCCAGCTCGCCATCAGACGGAATTGTGTTGTGCTCTTGTAAATATGCCACATGTAATAGGTATCATATAGACGTTTATTACAGTGACGTTTCATTGTATTTTACTGTGCTGTCGGATAACGATGGGGATCGAAAGGCAAACTCGACGAAGGCTCTGTTCCTGGTTTGTTTTTCATTCGGCTCTGCTGTTGTTTGTCGGGAAACAGGCTTTGGCAGAAATAAGATATTCTATTCCAGAGGAGGTGAAAGATGGGACTGCTGTCGGGAATGTTGCGAAGGATCTTGGCCTTGACATCACCTCTTTGATTGACCGACGGTTCCGTGTTGTGTCTGAATCTAAGGATGCATTTTTTGAGGTAAACCAGAACAATGGAGCTCTGTATGTCCATAAGAAAATCGACAGAGAGGAGCTGTGTCATGGCAGTGGTGCATGTCTAATAGAGCTGAAAGTCATAGTGGAAAACCCTCTGGAAATACACTATGTAGTTGTAGAAATTACTGATGTAAATGATCATTCTCCTGGTTTCCCCGAAAAAGTGCAGACGTTTGAAATCTTTGAACAAACACTACCTGGAAGGCGATTTCAACTACACACTGCTCGTGATCCCGATGCTGGAATTAATTCTATTCGTACATACACTTTAACATCAAATGAACATTTTGAAGTGGACATCCGCCAAAGCGACGAGGATAAGATACCATTTTTAGTGCTGAAGAAATCGTTAGACAGAGAACTAAAGAACAAACACACGCTGCTGGTTACAGCAGTTGATGGAGGCAAACCTCCAAGATCAGGAACACTGAATGTTTCTATTATTGTTCTTGACAGTAATGATAATCGTCCGATGTTTAGTCAGGAGATTTACCAAATAGAAATACAAGAAAATGTTCCAATCGGTACTTCAATATTTCAAATGAATGCAACGGATCCTGATGAAGGCACCAACAGTGAAATTGAATACAGCTTCGGAAAAACTTTGAAGAAAAAAGTGTATGACATCTTTGAACTTGACAAATTAACTGGAGAGATTAAAGTAAAAGGGGAGGTGGATTATGAAGAAAACGATGTTTATAAACTGGATGTGGAGGCATCCGATAAAGGAACACCTCCACTGACAGGTGAGTGTAGACTCCTTATAAAAATCAAAGACGTCAATGATAATGCACCGGAAATAGAAATCACATCACTGTCAAATACAGTGTCTGAAGATTTAAAGCCTGGTACAATGATTTCTCTCATCACTGTGAAGGATAAAGACTCCGGTGTCAATGGAAAAATTATTCTAAGCATAACCTCAGAGGTGCCTTTTGAATTAAAGCCCTCCTATAAGGAGAACATATATTCAGTTGTTACGAAGGGATTTTTGGATCGAGAGGAGGTGTCACATTATGA